ACCTTCAGCCCTGAAAGTAATTCTCAAAAAAATCCAAAAATCATCAAGAAAAGATTGTAAACATGTGTTAAGAATACAGAAAAAGTGTCTACGAAGGAAAAGGATGAAGTTATGAAAGAATCAGCCAAACCATGTTCTTTACTAAAGAAATCGAAGAAAAGGAATTAGAAATATAACAATGGTGATTCAAATTTTTTTTTCTTTTAATGCTGGTGTAGCTGCACTGGTTGCCAATTTGTTTGTGGATGTTGCGTTCACAAACAAGATAGCGACTGGAAGTACTGCCATAGGGGCTACCTAAGTAAACATTTACCAAAGTTTAATTTGTTTTATTTAATTGTTTCATTAATTCCAGTTTTTAGAAATTGTTTTTAGTGCTCAAGAATTTTACTAATTTTATTGTGATACTATTGGTGGCGATACTAGGTATGGAATCATGTACCTTGACAAAATTCAGCAAAGTAGAAGAATGAGAGATCTTGAATTTGTCCCATATGGAAGGCCCACGATGGCAACAGAAGCTGAAACCATCCTAGAAACCTATCACAATTTAAGTATGGCAACTAATCTACAGCAGTCAATCGTTCAACATGAAATCTGTCCTACAAGTTTGAAGAGAGTCACTGATCTATCACAATATAAGAAACAAAGACACCTGTGCTGGATCAAACACTTTAAGTATGCTTACTTGCTATAAAAAATGAAGTAATAAAATTAAGCTTGGCAGTGTCTACTACTACTACTACTACTACTACTACTACTACTACTACTACTACTACTACTACTGTGAAAAATCCTTTAAGATTGTAATGCCAGCTTAGCAAGATCATATGGTAAGAGGATTAATTGGTATGTCTGTGTTCTAAAACTTTTCAGTTTAAAAGTCCTGTCTTCTGAACAGGACTTTTAAACTATGTTCCAAAAACTTTAAGCTAAAGTGTGCAAAACTAGATTAACTACTGTGAAGATAGGACTCCCTTCCAAAAATGCTTGCTGTGAAGTATTTAACTTCTATAATAAAGCTTTCACAGATGATCTTTATTAGTGAAGCATTAATCATTCTGCTTCCTATGACTTACTCCTTCATTGCAAAATATCATTAATATTATATCTGATTTATTTTGCTTGTTGATCATAGATATTATAACTTATAAATCAAAGTAATTCCATAATATCATTATGTCATTGTCCAAGATATGTTCAGAATTTTTCAAGTCTGCATACTATCTGGACTTAAGCTAGAGAGTTCTTCAATAATAATTCATTATAAAGCATCACATTTCTGCAATCATTATTGGAATTCAGAGAATGTCTAAATTTGAAGTTTACTGCAGTTATGCTAAAAATATTTTCACTTGTGTTCTGTTGAGAAATTTTAAATAAATAAATAAATATATATATATTCTTTGAACAACTGTAATTAATATACCATGAGATGGAAGAGATATGCTTCATCATCTCAATAAATAAATATGAAGTATGGAAATAATAAATTTTATAAATTTAGTTTGCATTTTAACAAGTATTTATCTATAAATAATACATTTTTTTTTAAATTTCATTATCTGATTTGGATCTATAAATGACTATTACCAATCATCAAAAATCAAAACTAACAATAAAACAAACAGAATGCATCTTTATAACTAAAATTCCAATTACAAATGTTTGGAAAGTGCTTTATAATGCACTTTCCATCAATACTTCTAAAACAATGGGTCAATTCTCATCCATCTTATTTTAGTTTCTCTCCATTAATGATGAAAAACTGCTTACTACATTCTTTCTTTCCAAATTCCTCTTCATCTCTGTCAAAGGGAATAAAGTTTCACTGCCATATCAGATGTTCTATATAGCATGTAAACAAATGTGGAAAAAACTGAAAATTCTGGTATGGAATATTTGTCTTCTTATCAAAACAATTACCTCCAAAGTTATGAATTCTCCATCATAAATGGCATGGTTCTACACATACAATGATTTCTGTCAATACATTAANATCATATGGTAAGAGGATTAATTGGTATGTCTGTGTTCTAAAACTTTTCAGTTTAAAAGTCCTGTCTTCTGAACAGGACTTTTAAACTATGTTCCAAAAACTTTAAGCTAAAGTGTGCAAAACTAGATTAACTACTGTGAAGATAGGACTCCCTTCCAAAAATGCTTGCTGTGAAGTATTTAACTTCTATAATAAAGCTTTCACAGATGATCTTTATTAGTGAAGCATTAATCATTCTGCTTCCTATGACTTACTCCTTCATTGCAAAATATCATTAATATTATATCTGATTTATTTTGCTTGTTGATCATAGATATTATAACTTATAAATCAAAGTAATTCCATAATATCATTATGTCATTGTCCAAGATATGTTCAGAATTTTTCAAGTCTGCATACTATCTGGACTTAAGCTAGAGAGTTCTTCAATAATAATTCATTATAAAGCATCACATTTCTGCAATCATTATTGGAATTCAGAGAATGTCTAAATTTGAAGTTTACTGCAGTTATGCTAAAAATATTTTCACTTGTGTTCTGTTGAGAAATTTTAAATAAATAAATAAATATATATATATTCTTTGAACAACTGTAATTAATATACCATGAGATGGAAGAGATATGCTTCATCATCTCAATAAATAAATATGAAGTATGGAAATAATAAATTTTATAAATTTAGTTTGCATTTTAACAAGTATTTATCTATAAATAATACATTTTTTTTTAAATTTCATTATCTGATTTGGATCTATAAATGACTATTACCAATCATCAAAAATCAAAACTAACAATAAAACAAACAGAATGCATCTTTATAACTAAAATTCCAATTACAAATGTTTGGAAAGTGCTTTATAATGCACTTTCCATCAATACTTCTAAAACAATGGGTCAATTCTCATCCATCTTATTTTAGTTTCTCTCCATTAATGATGAAAAACTGCTTACTACATTCTTTCTTTCCAAATTCCTCTTCATCTCTGTCAAAGGGAATAAAGTTTCACTGCCATATCAGATGTTCTATATAGCATGTAAACAAATGTGGAAAAAACTGAAAATTCTGGTATGGAATATTTGTCTTCTTATCAAAACAATTACCTCCAAAGTTATGAATTCTCCATCATAAATGGCATGGTTCTACACATACAATGATTTCTGTCAATACATTTTTTGATAAAATTAATTGATAAATTAATTTTATCAAATAAATACAAAAAAATAAATTGCAATTCTGAAATATTTTGTTCACTTGTAAGATCTTGTCTAACAAGTAAGTGAGTTTTCCTTTTTCTCTTTTTCTTTATCTGCAGACAATTGTCTAGAGATAAGAAAAAAGAAAACTCACTTTCAGACAATTTCTCGAAATGATTTGGCATTTGGAAATATTAATACAAATATATTACTGTATAGCTTCAAGAGGAAATTATTTTGAAGGAAACCATTAAAGTTCAAGATAAAATTTTTGAATGCTACTTATACTGTATGTACAATATCATTATTGCAAACATGTATATCATCAACTATTTAAATAATATTTAATCAAAATTACAGCATAAAAAAAGTTGTTTTTATCAAATTCTTAAATCAAAATTTAAAAAAAATATTCTAATGGAAAAAATTTAATATATAGAAATCTTACCCTACATTCAGGCATACCAATATTTTGACAACAGGATAATGTGGAAACAGCTAGATTAAGTGCATTTGAATCAGCTATACCTGTTATTAAAACAAAAAAAAAAACCTTGTAAACAGCTAAAGTAAAATATCTCAGTTTGAATTTACATGTAAATTTTAAATATTGTTCCATTTATAAATTTAAATTTATAAATACAATGAGCAATTATTTATTGTGACATTGTCACAATGCTGGGCTGCAATTATTAATCATGTTTTAAATTTATTTAATTTAAAATATATGCTCTCCACCTCAAATTAGTAGTGCTTTACCCCTGTGCATCATAACAATAGCGTTTTGACAGTCATCTATCTAATACTTTTTAGAAGAAAATTTTTTAATTGAAATAATATGACTTCTGGGTTGCATTGAAAGTTCATATATAGTTAATCGGGGCTAAGGTTTCCATATCTGATCTCATCTTTTATCTAACTCCATTCTCAAGATTAAGGAAAGACATGACAGTGGGAATTTATAAGTCTACAATTTTTTCAAATTGCAGCCCAACAATAAAACTAGTTATGTTTCAATGTTGATATTTTAATAACAATAATGCTAGAGACTTTTGTAATAATTGAAAGATATTGTAATATATATTTTGTAATCATTAAATATTTAATCAATGTCAAGATATCAAAAGATTAATTTATATCATCTGAAAGACTGTGAAATATTAACATTTTCATAATTTATTGAGAAAAATATACTTTTAAATTAAATTAGAATTTAAAAGACTTAGAAATTATTATATGATATTTATTCAAGTTTAATATATTTTTACGATACAATATTTTTATACAGGATGTTAACCTTGAGATTAAAACTCATGTAACTGATCCTTAATTCTTAATCATAAGTCTTCGAAGAGATGTAAACGAATTACCATCAGTCTTACAAATAAACTAATAACTTACATTAGATACAGTTGTGTTTTTATATACTTTTTTTGGTATTTAATATCACTTATTAGGATCTTAAAAGAATTATAATAAAGACTTTAAAAATAAATTGCAATTCTGAAATATTTTGTTCACTTGTAAGATCTTGTCTAACAAGTAAGTGAGTTTTCCTTTTTCTCTTTTTCTTTATCTGCAGACAATTGTCTAGAGATAAGAAAAAAGAAAACTCACTTTCAGACAATTTCTCGAAATGATTTGGCATTTGGAAATATTAATACAAATATATTACTGTATAGCTTCAAGAGGAAATTATTTTGAAGGAAACCATTAAAGTTCAAGATAAAATTTTTGAATGCTACTTATACTGTATGTACAATATCATTATTGCAAACATGTATATCATCAACTATTTAAATAATATTTAATCAAAATTACAGCTACATGTGTACAATATCATTATTGCAAACATGTATATCATCAACTATTTAAATAATATTTAATCAAAATTACAGCATAAAAAAAGTTGTTTTTATCAAATTCTTAAATCAAAATTAAAAAAAAATATTCTAATGGAAAAAATTTAATATATAGAAATCTTACCCTACATTCAGGCATACCAATATTTTGACAACAGGATAATGTGGAAACAGCTAGATTAAGTGCATTTGAATCAGCTATACCTGTTATTAAAACAAAAAAAAAACCTTGTAAACAGCTAAAGTAAAATATCTCAGTTTGAATTTACATGTAAATTTTAAATATTGTTCCATTTATAAATTTAAATTTATAAATACAATGAGCAATTATTTATTGTGACATTGTCACAATGCTGGGCTGCAATTATTAATCATGTTTTAAATTTATTTAATTTAAAATATATGCTCTCCACCTCAAATTAGTAGTGCTTTACCCCTGTGCATCATAACAATANTATTGGAATTCAGAGAATGTCTAAATTTGAAGTTTACTGCAGTTATGCTAAAAATATTTTCACTTGTGTTCTGTTGAGAAATTTTAAATAAATAAATAAATATATATATATTCTTTGAACAACTGTAATTAATATACCATGAGATGGAAGAGATATGCTTCATCATCTCAATAAATAAATATGAAGTATGGAAATAATAAATTTTATAAATTTAGTTTGCATTTTAACAAGTATTTATCTATAAATAATACATTTTTTTTTAAATTTCATTATCTGATTTGGATCTATAAATGACTATTACCAATCATCAAAAATCAAAACTAACAATAAAACAAACAGAATGCATCTTTATAACTAAAATTCCAATTACAAATGTTTGGAAAGTGCTTTATAATGCACTTTCCATCAATACTTCTAAAACAATGGGTCAATTCTCATCCATCTTATTTTAGTTTCTCTCCATTAATGATGAAAAACTGCTTACTACATTCTTTCTTTCCAAATTCCTCTTCATCTCTGTCAAAGGGAATAAAGTTTCACTGCCATATCAGATGTTCTATATAGCATGTAAACAAATGTGGAAAAAACTGAAAATTCTGGTATGGAATATTTGTCTTCTTATCAAAACAATTACCTCCAAAGTTATGAATTCTCCATCATAAATGGCATGGTTCTACACATACAATGATTTCTGTCAATACATTTTTTGATAAAATTAATTGATAAATTAATTTTATCAAATAAATACAAAAAAATAAATTGCAATTCTGAAATATTTTGTTCACTTGTAAGATCTTGTCTAACAAGTAAGTGAGTTTTCCTTTTTCTCTTTTTCTTTATCTGCAGACAATTGTCTAGAGATAAGAAAAAAGAAAACTCACTTTCAGACAATTTCTCGAAATGATTTGGCATTTGGAAATATTAATACAAATATATTACTGTATAGCTTCAAGAGGAAATTATTTTGAAGGAAACCATTAAAGTTCAAGATAAAATTTTTGAATGCTACTTATACTGTATGTACAATATCATTATTGCAAACATGTATATCATCAACTATTTAAATAATATTTAATCAAAATTACAGCATAAAAAAAGTTGTTTTTATCAAATTCTTAAATCAAAATTTAAAAAAAATATTCTAATGGAAAAAATTTAATATATAGAAATCTTACCCTACATTCAGGCATACCAATATTTTGACAACAGGATAATGTGGAAACAGCTAGATTAAGTGCATTTGAATCAGCTATACCTGTTATTAAAACAAAAAAAAAAACCTTGTAAACAGCTAAAGTAAAATATCTCAGTTTGAATTTACATGTAAATTTTAAATATTGTTCCATTTATAAATTTAAATTTATAAATACAATGAGCAATTATTTATTGTGACATTGTCACAATGCTGGGCTGCAATTATTAATCATGTTTTAAATTTATTTAATTTAAAATATATGCTCTCCACCTCAAATTAGTAGTGCTTTACCCCTGTGCATCATAACAATAGCGTTTTGACAGTCATCTATCTAATACTTTTTAGAAGAAAATTTTTTAATTGAAATAATATGACTTCTGGGTTGCATTGAAAGTTCATATATAGTTAATCGGGGCTAAGGTTTCCATATCTGATCTCATCTTTTATCTAACTCCATTCTCAAGATTAAGGAAAGACATGACAGTGGGAATTTATAAGTCTACAATTTTTTCAAATTGCAGCCCAACAATAAAACTAGTTATGTTTCAATGTTGATATTTTAATAACAATAATGCTAGAGACTTTTGTAATAATTGAAAGATATTGTAATATATATTTTGTAATCATTAAATATTTAATCAATGTCAAGATATCAAAAGATTAATTTATATCATCTGAAAGACTGTGAAATATTAACATTTTCATAATTTATTGAGAAAAATATACTTTTAAATTAAATTAGAATTTAAAAGACTTAGAAATTATTATATGATATTTATTCAAGTTTAATATATTTTTACGATACAATATTTTTATACAGGATGTTAACCTTGAGATTAAAACTCATGTAACTGATCCTTAATTCTTAATCATAAGTCTTCGAAGAGATGTAAACGAATTACCATCAGTCTTACAAATAAACTAATAACTTACATTAGATACAGTTGTGTTTTTATATACTTTTTTTGGTATTTAATATCACTTATTAGGATCTTAAAAGAATTATAATAAAGACTTTAAAAATAAATTGAGAACTTTAAATCAAACAACAAAATATTTTTGATTTTTTAAAATTTTATGTTTAAATAATATTTATTAAAGAAGACATTTTTAATACTAAAATCTGGTTTTAAAAATGTTTTTGCAATACTTCTTTATAAATTTTTAAGTAAACTATCTCAAAAAAATATTAATTATGAAATTATACATTTAAGAGAATTTTCTTATCATGAAAAATTAGAAACATTGAAAAATATATATTTACCTATATCTTCACTAGCAAAGACAACCATTCGACGTGCGATAAAACGAGGATCTTCACCACTTTCAACCATTCGTGCTAACCAATATAAAGTAGCATCAACAGAAGACCCTCTCATGGATTTTATGAATGCTGAAATACAGTTATAATGCTGATCTCCTATTTCAAAAATAACATGCAAAAATATATGTAATGAGAATTTATAATATTTTCAACAATTAAGGTTATTATTATCATTATTATTGTTATATATTTATATTTCATTCATTTACTCATTTAACAAGACTTTAAATTATGTATGCTGGATGAAAGTTGTGGCTATTTTGGTAACTTTAGTAAAAAATATTTTCAAGAGATCCTTATAAGAAGTAGCCAAATCAAGATATAAGGCAGGGGTGGCCAACCTTTTTAGCAGGCGGACCAAATTTCAGAAATAATATTTCTTGCTGGGCCACGCACCTAATTTTTTTTAAAATTAAAGTAAACAAGCAAGTGTGCTACAGCTTCAACCGCATCGTTGCTTTCCAGTAGGTGAGATCGTGGTCAAACACTTGCCTGGTTTAACGTAAAAAAAAAACACAAAAAATAGGTATATTTATTTTTTTGAAGAAAATAAAACATAATCGAGAATCATTTATTTAATAACCGAGAAACATATTTATTAGACAATTTTAAAATATTTAAAAGTGAGACATCTGACTTTGTTTTACAGAACTAACAAGTAAGTGCATCAAAATTGATCTGGACTGATGTAGTCGCTACACGCAAACAGTTTTCCAAATGAACATCAGTAATTCGTGTTCTCACTTGTGATTTGATGTACTTCATACGACTAAAAAGTTGTTCACACGCATAAGTGTTTCCAAATAGCGAAACCATTGACAGAGCATGTTTGTAAAACGCAAGATATTTATCCTTGTCCAAATACGTTTCATAGAACTCTTCCAAACCTTCTTAACTCTTCTAATGTTCATTTGGTGATATGTACAATAAAGTTAACATTTATGTTCATTTGACCTAGCTCCGCGGGCCGC